TGGCGACAAAAGATATAAGGCTAGACTCGTAGTGAAAGGGTTCCAACAAAGACAAGGAATTGACTTCACGAAATTTTCTCTCCTGTTGTCAAGATGACTACCATCGAGTTATCTTGAGTATAGTAGACTGCAGAAAATCTTCATTTGGAGCGGTTAGATGTCAAAACTGCATTCTTACATGGGGATCTTGAAGAGGAAATTTTTATGTCACAGCCAAAAGGTTTTGAAGTACAAGGCGGAGAAAATCTTGTATGCAAGCTTCATAAAAGTTTGTACGGATTAAAACAAGCGCCGAGACAATGGTACAAGAAGTTTAATGAGTTTATGAGAAACTCGGGATTTTGCGAGATGTGAAGAAGATCATCGTTGTTATGTGAAGAAATATGTTGATAGCTATATCATTCTTGCCTTATATGTTGACGACATGTTGATTGTTGGAGCTAATATGGCGAAATTGACAAGTTGAAGAAACAATTGTCGAGAGCTTTGAAATGAAGGATCTTGGTCCAGCCAAGCAAATTCTTGGTATGAGAATCTCCAGAGATAGAGATAAAGGTATTTTGAACATATCTCAAGAAAAATATATAGAAAAATTGCTTAGCAGATTAAATGTTGGGAATGCTAAAACCAAGAATACACCTTTGGGAACTCACTTAAAGTTTTCAAAGAGGCAATCTTCTCAAACAGAAGAAGAAGAAAGTCACATGTCTAAAGTGCCATATGCATCTGCAGTAGGAAGCTTGATGTATGCTATGGTTTGCACCGGACCGGACATAGCACATGCGAGTGGGAGTTGTGAGCAGATTTCTATCAAATCCCGGAAAGGAGCATTGGGAAGGAGTGAAGTGGATATTCGGATATTTGAAAGGCACTTCAAAGATGCATTTGTCTTTCAAGAGAAGTAATCTCATTTTACAGGGGTTTTCCGATGCGAGACTTGGGAGGTGATCTTGACGGTAGAAAGAGCACAACAGGTTATATTTTTACATTGGGTGGTACAGCTATCGGTTGGAAGTCTAAACTTCAAGGAAGGGTCTCTCTCTCAACCACCGAAGCGAGTATGTAGCTATCTCGAAGCAGCGAAAGGAGATGATATGGTTGAAGAACCTTCTAAAAGAATTAGGAAGAGAACAAGATGGTTCTCCGTTGTTTAGTGACGATCAAAGTGCTATTTGTCTTGCTAAAAATCCAATCCTTCATTCCAGATGTAAGCACATTGAATTGAAGTATCATTTTATCGAAACCCGATAAATGATGGAGACTTGAGTTTGTTGAAGATTCCAGTGCGAGAGAATCCCGCTGATATGTTGACCAAGACTGTTACAACAACTAAGTTGAGGCTTTGCATTGCCTCAACTGGCCTTCGAGCAAATTGATGATGAAGGCACTACACTAGGTGGTAACGTAAATCAAACTCCAAGTGGGAGAATTGTTAGTATTATGGTGCTTGATTTAGTCCCACATCGATTAGGATTGTGAGATGAGGTTCTCTATTTTGTTATATAAGCAACCCTATGTAAAGTTTGAGATACACACAGAAATAAAAATACTTCCTAGTGTAGTCGTGGACGTAGGCATACATATTTTAGCCGAACCACGTTAAAATTCTTGTGTCGTTTATTTTTCTCTCCTTTATTCTTTCCTTTATTATTGTCTTGTTCCTAACAATGTGTACTAAGTGTAACATCTCAAAAACAAGGTATTTTCAAAATATAAACTATCTCCTCATTGAGGATTTTCTCCATACATTTGAACTATCATAAAATATAAAATTAACAAAAACATATAAGATCTTATTATCTCTCATCTTACTCCAGTTAAGATTTAACACTTGGATTATATACTCTCGTGTAAAAACACACGATCATCACAGTTAAAGAAAACAATATATAAAACACATGATAAGTTAGTATTTTGAAATAAACATGTTAAAATTAAATTTGTTATAAAATTACAATTTCATGTATTTTCACATATATTGCCACTACACAAATTCATTTTAGATTTATTATATCATATCAATCTACATCACACAAATTCTAAACGACTTTTAGAAGATTGGATATTAAATTAGACTCAAAGATTTTATATTTATCACGCTACCTTCCCTAAGTGGACATTTTCGATATAGATGTATAATTATAACACATGTGACAAGGTAAATCCTTATGACGTACCAGATATAGTTTTTTTTTATACACCACAAGTTAAGTCATAGAACCATCATTTAACTCTCTCACTATCTAATTCTTTCATCTATGTGATTTCAGTGTTCAGTAAAGTCAGGATAATCTCCTTTAGAATCCTAATTCAATATCCCTACATACTTCACCATGTAGTACCTCCCCAGATACCCACAACCACACACATTTAAGTCGATTATGGATGACATCCAAGGTTTGACTTAGCCTCACATACATAGATATATATCAGTCGATTATGAGTCACTTTCTTGACTTGACTAAACCTCAACAAATATATCTTAGGATCAAGAAAAGACAAAATATCATCACATCATCTTATAATTTATCACAAACATAACATACATATATAGATATCTTATGGTAGTTCTCACATTACAAAAAAAATATTTTTTTATACATATAATAATACTCAACACACCTCATTTCATATTCACAACATATGTTCTAACATTCTAAGTTACATATATACCATTTATCACATTTAAAACAAAATGCATTTAATTTGACATCTACTCATTCTTTTAATTATAACTTTTTTTTAGATATCCTTTTTAACTAATTATTGTTTTATTGGATTCCACATTTTTGGGAACTTCAATTTGGGTATATGAAAAATTAAATTTGGAGTTCAAAATTATTTTTTATGATTTTTAGAAGTTTAAGTAAAAAACTTTTGAGAAATTTTTCTTGAGCAAAAATTCTTTCGCTTGAGTAAAAATGCACTCAAAACAAACTTCATTTCACTGAGAATTTTTTATTTGAGTAAAAATACACCCGAGAAAAACTCTTATCTTTTATTACACATTTTACTTAAGTGACAAATTGTCACTTGAATTATTTTATAGGCATTGATACTATCATTTAAGACTTTATTACATCATTTCCTTATAGAATATATTATACCTAATCTAAATATTGTTATCCTATTCTAACATTCCATACACGTCTTTCTCGTAAAATAAATATAATTCAACTCATTCAATCACATACAAATATCAAAAATATCAATTCACAGTCAACTCCCTGCAAATCAAATAATATAACCAAGTTACCATCACAATTTAGATCGTCTATCTTAGAATGTTAAGAAATTTAGTACTAGTTTCTTTTACCTTTCTCAACCTTTAATTCCAAAATCTCTAAAAACACCTAATCTCACAGAAAGTCAAATTCTGCTCACATTAAATTCTAATTAATAAATTAAGTATATCATAATGTTATTGAGCTAGTAAAAATTCATCTTTATTTGACAAAACTCACATGCATACACCCTAGACCCAACATGCAATCTCAACAAATCTATATGTAAATACTTTAAAATGAACAAGAAAAAACTTACTTTATTTAAAATTTTGATCAATTAAAAATTATTTTATTTATTTCAAAAATATTAAGACATGTTTAAATTTAGAAAGAATGAGAAAGGAAGAGAATTTTAAAGACAATATAAATTAACAAAAGTAACTGTACGATTATTTTATTAAAAAAGTCTATGTAGGATGATTTTATTAAAATGAAATTTGAATTATTAAAATATTTTATTTATAGTTTTTTTTTTAACTTAACCAATAAAAACTACGTTCTCACTTTTTGGTGAGTTTGGAATCAAAGTTACCAATCAAACTTAACGCTACATTCTCCATCATATTAACGCTAGTTAATTCATAAATACTTTTTCTAAAAAAACCATTGAATTTATAGAAAATAATTATCTCCTTGAAAATTCTTCATAATATTACAATTTTAATCTTATACATATTTTATTCTTATTCACACTACTGTTTTATTAGGTAATTTTTAATAATTTTAATTTCCATCTTAATCAATATACTTTTAGAAAATACCCGTTTCTTAAAAAAAAAAATTAAATGTGCACTAAAACATATTAATTAGTTTTAATTAAGATTTAAGATATTCATCAATAAGTTTTCTTTTATCATTTAGAGGAAGTTCAAAGTTTTCATTTACATAACATAAATTTCTTAAATAAAATAAAAACAAATTGAAAATATTAACACTACATTCTTTGCCATATTAATAATGGTAAATTGTAGGTAATATACTTATTTAATTTTTCTTAACAAAAATTTATAATTTTATTCTTGTTTATAGAAAACAACAATCTCATTCTAAAATCTAATTTTATTGTATTGTAAATACTTTAACCTCAAGTAAACTTACTTCTCATAAATCCATTTCATGTCATAATTAAAGTTTAATTTTCATAGAGTGCCCATAAAAATGTTTTCACTATCAATTTAACATAGTTTTAATCATATAATAGTTTGTGTTCTCATAAATTGGATTCTAAGATGAAAAAAAATTATTTAAAATACATGTAATACTTTTAGAGGTTAATTTCATACATGGATATGAAATATCACATAATAAATAAAAACGACAGTGTAATTAAATCATATTAAATATATATTTAATTAAACAATTACTAGTAGTAAAAGACAGTTTAATAAAATCATATTAAAAATGTATTTCAATTAATATTTTGTAATAATAAAAGGGGTGTCATAAAGGAAGTGGAAAAAACTAACCTTTTTAAAAATCTCGCAGACAAGTTCCAACGGTTGACATTGAATCATCTCTTCGCTGACTAATCTTCTAAAAATCAAAAAATAAACGAAGGGCTGAGATTGATTATTGTAGATTTTCTTCTTGCTCCCACCGCAGAGAATCTCTTCACCCCTTAAAACGGTGTTAAACGTGGTGTGTTATGCCTATATAAAGTGTGCAAGACAAAAGCTTGTTCTGTACAAATTTCTCAACTTGGTTTTCTTGAACATGGCTGCCACATTCTTCTCTCAATTGTCTCTTCTTCAAGCGAACAACCCTTATCCTTCTTCTCTCTCTCCTCGCATCCCTCATTCTCTTGCCAACCGTATCAAACCCTCCTCCCTCGGTGAGTGACCCAACATCATTCTTTCTTGCAGATTTTATTGATGAATGTGTCCTGGTGCGAAATTTGGTTTTTGATGGCAGGGGTGGTTTCTGTGGGCAAAAGAGCAATAGGGGTGGTGCCAAAGGCTGCTCTGAATGCCTTGGAAACTAATTCGGATTTCCCCATTTCGGCTAAGAAGTTCAACGACAACCCCATTGTTGTTATTGATAACTATGACAGCTTTACCTATAATCTTTGCCAGGTTGGTTCTTTGGCACATTTCTTTTATTCACTCTTTCTTGATGTTGATTGGGTGGTTCTTTGGCTTTGTCTGTAATCTCTGCAAGGTTCTTTATCTGTGTTTGCTTGTTTGTGTGATGAAATTTGAGGAACTGTGCAAGAACTGAATCCTTTTTTTTTTTTTTTCTCTAGTGTCAAGCACTTTTGTGTTTGCCATCTGAAAATGTTACATTGATGTTTTTAGTTTGAGTTTTGGACCTCCTGCGAGGAAGGGGGAGAGGCTAGTGGAAAATGTAACCCTGAATTTATTTTGTTAAAAGAAAATATCTAAGAGTAATTTCCATAACAAGTTAGATTATTTCGGAAAATATGGAAATCTGGAAAATGAACCGAGTCTTAAATTCAATAGCATTTCCTAAACTATTAGAAAAAAGTCTTTTAAATTCTCCTCCCTCCTTTTCTGCAAATGCAATGGAAGTTTTTCAGATGAGCCATAATTACCCTCCTTGTGTTGGAGAAGCATGCAATTTGGAAAATATGAGAGCTCAGAATTTGTTGTTGTACATGTACATCTGTTTTACAAAGTGGCTATTCTAACAATGTATCATTTACATTTGAAGTATATGGGGGAGTTAGGATTTCACTTTGAGGTCTACCGCAATGATGAGTTGACAGTGGAGGAGTTAAAAAGGTAAAATTATTTTTGCTGGTTAGGCATGGCTAGCAGTTTCTTATTGATGAAGCAGTTTGTGGGATAATCCATGCTCTTTGAACTTCCTGCTCCAAAAGGCTAATTATGCTTATTTTGTGTCTTTTGCCTAGGAAAAATCCTAGAGGAGTGCTGATATCACCCGGACCAGGTAAGGCTTAGATTCTTTATAAAATTCCTTTTTAAATATAAATTAATAAGAACCTAATACATGATCAATGTTTTCAGAACAGACAAACAAAAGGAAATAATAGAATAAACACAACACTTTACACTGTTTCATCCTTACAGGGGAACCTCAAGATTCTGGCATATCTTTGCAAACAGTTTTGGAGCTTGGACCAACTGTACCTTTGTTTGGTGTGTGCATGGGTTTGCAGTGCATTGGTGAGGCTTATGGAGGTGAGTTTGAGTAATGGATACTTTTAAATCTCTTTATTCACTTATATATATTAGGTGTATACAAATGAGTGTAAAATTGTCTTGATATATTTGTATGTCATTCATTGTTAACCTGACTTTCATTTTTAATGACATTTTGACCTTTACTTTGTAATCTCCCTTTATCAACCTCGTTTCTTCCTTTTGGCCGTGATACAACAATAAGATCAAAACTTTTTCATGTTATCCTTTGCAGGGAAGATTGTTCGTTCTCCTTATGGTGTCATGCATGGAAAAAGTTCCTTGGTTTACTATGATGAGCAAGGAGAAGATGGAGTACTTGCTGGACTGTCAAAGTACGGTTTCTGCTTTCAAATTATTTATATGATCTATTAAGTTTGGTTATCAGCAGCAGCATTCTCTTTGCTTTCAAGTTTCAACTGAGCTCTGACATAATTTTACTCCATTTAATTTGTACCATTTTCAGTCCTTTCTTGGCTGGTAGATATCACAGCCTTGTAATTGAGAAAGAGAGTTTTCCTGATGAACTTGAGGCAACAGCCTGGACAGAAGATGGTCTAATAATGGCTGCTCGCCATAAGAAATATAAGCATCTACAGGTAACATTTTAATCTTCCTTCAGAACTGATTGTCTTATTTAGCATTGAAATAAATGTTCTATCAATGTACCTGTTAATGTAAAGGGTAAAGAGATTGAATAAAATCCCTTTGTGTATTATACAAGCAGAGGAACATACACATATATCATGATACGAAGAGATGGTATTGGGCCCATATATTTAACTATTGCTAACAGTTCCCCTTTAGTTGGTGAATATAAATCATATGTACCACATTTGTTACAAATATAATCAATTATAAGATTTTGTAATGATTTGGTTTAAACATCTACCAATTAATCATTGAAATTCACAAACTAAGTGTGAATCTCTTGTCAAAAGGAGAGCATGCTCAATCTGTATTAAAGTCGCCCCCAACTAAAGTATGATTGTTGTGAGACTGAGTTGATAGTTTATCTAGATCAAGACTAACGTTACAAACAAAAAACAAGTAGATCATGAAGACTTGAGGGGTAAGGGATGGAGAGGTTGATGAGAAAATAAAATAGAAAGTGAGATTTGGTTTTCTAACCCTAAGGATGACATGTAATTAATGAGATAGCATGCAGTGAGGACGACATCCCTCCAAAATTGTTGAGGAACTTGATTATGAAGTAAAAATGTTTGAATTGTTTTAATAATGTCTATTCTTGTACTCAACAACCTCATTTTGTTGAGGCGTATATGCATATGAGGTTTGATGAAGACAATGGGAGCCCATAAAAGTTTGAAAAAATTGAGAGAGATATTCACAAGTATTATCACAATGGAGAGTATGAATATGACTTGGTTTGCATATATGTTTACCAAATTAACACAACTCACAAGACAGTAGATAGATGTAGGACAAGTTTTTGTCTCTTGGTAAGTCTAGGATGACCCAATTAAGCATGAATGAGGGAGGGGAATCCATCACTGAACTAGCATGAGCAGATGTATAAAGATGGTAAAGACCATAAGACCTACATTCAAATTGTAAGGAAACAAAATCTTGAGTAAAAAAAATGAGACAATCAATGAAACTATTAAGAGATAATAAATTAAAAAGAGACTTGAGAACATACAAAACATTGTCAATAGAAAGAGAAGGGATAAGATGAACAATACCCACACCACACCATGACAAGGATTAGTCATAGTGACGGATGGTAAAATACCAGTCTGAATGGCGACGGCAGAGAAAGGTGAAAAATGGTCGGAAAAAGAATGCCAACAAAGGGGAAAAGTCCAAAAATCGGTAAAGACACACTTTCCCAAAAAAAAAATTGACATCGATGGACAACATGCTTCAATTAGGAGAAGATAACTTCACAACTTAGTATTTTTGTAATATAATCTAGAAAGATATTTATATTCTTTCCACAAATAAAGAAATTATAGTTGAATCAGCTTCATTCTTGATATGGAGTTTAGTTTACCTCATTCACATACTACATAGATTCCTTTAGGCATGTATTTTATTACTAAATCAATGTAAATTTGTCAGTTTTCTCTTACAAATTCAGAAATGAGTTCTCTCTCTAAAACATATTCATCTAATTACCAGGATTACCTTTTGTTAGAATAGAGAACACAACTGAAACATAGGATGAGTTTATACAGACTTATCACAGTTACTATGGGTGATAGAGTATTTTGTTTTCTTTACTATAAAGATTCCATAACTATTAATAAACAAAAATATTATTATCATTCTTCTCACTTCTATGGCATGTCCTTAAATTTTCATATTATATATTACATGCCGTTTATTATTATTATTATTATTGAACTTGCACTCTGTCTCCCTTCTCATCGTATTCTATTTTGTTTTTTAAACTACAGGGAGTTCAGTTTCATCCTGAGAGCATCATAACTCCAGAAGGCAAGAAAATTGTCCACAATTTTGTCAAGCTTATTGAGAGAATGGAGGCTGGTGGTTCTTGAAACAATATTTGATGTGCATAATAGTTAAAATGTGGCTTTGAAGTTCTGCAGTAAACAAATAAAGATAAAGATGCCACAGTTTTAGAATGTCATAGTAAATCTTGTTAGGGTAAAACCTTGAACTCATTGATTCATATGAAAGTTTCGTTTTACTTTATTCTCATTGTTAGGGAAAAATCTTGTTGTTTGCCAACTGAATGAGAGGGAGATTCAAGAGTTTCATGGAGGTGAAAAAAATAGCAAATTTCTATCTTTTAGATATATTTATTTAATCTGTTTATTATTAAAATATCCACTTGTCTGCTTTATTTTTTAAAAGAAACAAGTCTTATCTACTTCTATAAAGAATTATTAAAAAGAATGTTTATCTCAAATTTAAACAAATTGGTCCAATGTCCAAATAATGAATGGTTTCGGTTAACCCTGTATTTTTTGGCTAGGGTCTTAAGAACGTGAATAAGTTTGTTTGCATAAGTCACGAGGGAAAAGTTCCACCTAAGAGACATAGTGGTGGTTAGAGAGGTTTTCATCCCTACAACATATGAAACCTAAAAAAGTATATGCTAGTAATATGAATGGTACAAGACATTTTTGGGATAAATGTGAGTCATGTGAGTAATATGAAAGCTAAAAAAGCACCAAATGTTTAATCACAGTTCTATACAAACATATCATGTTGAGATGTTTCCAATTCTAGTCTTATAAGGAGAAAAAATAGTACATATGAATGGGATAAGTTTGATGAATTTTGTTACTGAGTTTTAAATCACAATTTTATTTTATTTTTGAGATTGGCCTGCTGGGGTCAATGGAGATTGCTTGTATTTAGGGTAAAGGCTTTTGGTATTCAAATGGAAGCCATCTGACCCTGCAAATCTGAGCATAGTTGTAGGACTGTAACAGGGTTAGATATCATTTATTGAAATGATAAAATTATAAGAAACAGGAAAATAAAATGAAGATATAATATTAAAAATTTTATAATAGCCAACCATATTTATCTTTATCCTTACTTCTTAAATTCTATGTGAAATAAATAAAACAAAACTGTATCTTTATGCTACAGTCGTTTTTTATCGTAAATATATATTTTTCTCGTTCTTTTCAGTGTTTAATTTAATGACCCTAAAGATTGAGTTAATAATAAGTACCACAGAAAATGTTTCCTCTAAATCTTCCCATCAAATTAGCAACACTTAAATAAGCATTTATATGCAGACAAAACTGCAGAAAAAGTATGTGATAATATTTGTTTTATAGAGTACAGTAAATGTTTAGCTTGTGTCAGTTATGTTTCCATATTCTACATGCATCAATGTGAAAGCAGAAACATTAGTAATATTTAACTTTAAATTCAGCAGTTAAAAAATAAAAGAGTTACAAAGCAGAACCCAAGTCACAGGACAGTTTTGGAATCTCTCTACTCGGTGTGTCGTTTTCTGCTAAAAAATAAAATAAAACAACAAAAAAACTACAGGGTTTACGTGCAAGTGGGGGACTTGTACTAACTGCTTAAGCAGAGTAACTAACAAAGTTTATAAAACATTTTTTAAAATTTATTTTTTACCAAAAAAAATGACTGTTATTTTAATCTTTTCTAAAAAATCAAGTTAACCCATGTTCTACGTTTTTAATGAAATATTAATTATTTTTTTTCTCTAACTTACCTCTTATAAATAACATCAAATCTTATATTTTAGGAAACAAAATTTATTGTTCTAAATAGTGAAATTTTTTAAACAGGCAAAAAAAAATCTTAAACTATAGTTGTTATGAAACAAAGTGATGAAAAAATGGGGTTAAGCTAAAAGTTTAAAAAACAAACAATTATTAAATAAATAGCCATTGATTGGGCAACCAATATGGGAAGCATGTTCAATCTATGGCCTAAATTTCTGGGTAATTTTTGAAAAGAAACCTCTCTCTTCCATCATTTCATCTTTGGTGCTGGCCAATGGACAAGTTGAGGTTTGAAATTTTACTTTTGTTTGTAGGTATGATAATGACCTTTGATTATTTCTCATCTAGGTACTTAATAACAAAAGTCACATTGACATTGATTCTTGTGGTAATTATTCTTCTCTGCTATGTGAAGCCAAGTACAAAATAAAAGGGTTACATTGCATAACATGTTGCAATTATTCTTTCTTTTTCTCTTTTTTTTTTGTTACCTTTCATCAATGTGGACACTGGTGTGAAAAAAATACTTTTATATGGATGTGAAGAAACATGCAATGTTTGAACTAAGAACACAAATAAATAAAAAGTAAAGAATCAAAACAAAAGAAAAGCACATATTTTATTAAGACTAAACATACATTTGAACTTATTTAAACATGACTATAGTTCATATTTACTCCAGTATACGAGGGAGTATTTGCTTTTGTTGCAATCAATCTAAATTAAAATAATGGAGCTTGCATTGCTTTATGAAGGGTTTGTTGCTTTTCTTATTTTTAAAAAAAGTTCCAGATATTTGTCAAACTAGTGCTGTTGCTTTTTCCAAAATGCTTTTAAAAGTGGAGAGGATTGCGGATCATTGATTAATACTTGTACTAACTAATATTATCATTTACACTAAAACTAATGATATGAAGTGTTTTGTCACTTTCATGGCCATGGATGGAATGATGGTTTTGAGAAATTTCACAAAAATATAAGATCAAACAAGACTTGTCATATACTTGGCTCGAACTGTGCATGTTTTACTGCATAAAGTAATGGATTAAAGGTGGAAAGTATTTCAGTTATTTGTATATTTTTCTGTTAGAGGCACTGTTGGTAATTTTCTCACCATAATTAAACCCGAATTTCAGTTCAGTCTGTCATATTGAAAACAACTTCCAGTCATCATAATCACCAACATATTGAAAAGAATTTGTATGGATCTTCTTATCAGATCCATACAAATTCTTTTACAATTTTGTTACAATGTGATATCTATTAATGTCAATACTTAGAAGTAGTTCTCAATAAGTGATTTGTTGAGTAGTGAAATGCCATTGTTATTATTTGAAAAATGAAGCACAGAAATTATCTTCATGGTTTGCTTTTCTATGATGCAGAGAGACGGTGCAATAGGATAAGAAGCCAATAACCACTCCCAATGCTGTGCCTTAGAGATCCCAACTGCCCATTTGAAATTTCCAACTATAGGCCAGAAGACAAAAGCATGGGAAAGAAAAGGTGGAGAGAGAAATTTTGGTCACACTATTTATGAAAGCACCAGTGAACTAACCAGCCCTGCAGCATTTGTCACATTCAAGACTTGACTTTGGATTCCAATTACCTTGCCAAATGGCCACATTTTGTGTCTTCAAGCTGACAAATCTGACCGTGCAATTTTTCTAGACAGTCCAACACACCTCACTACAGTCATGGACTAAATATAAAACCATTTTGGTTGGTTTCACATTTGATGTGGGCATACCAACACAAAAATAATTCTTACCTACCATCCATTAAATAACTCATCCTCATAAGCATATAGTTTATTGAAGCCCTGAGGTGTGTCTAAATACACAATACATCAATGAGGAAATCTACCTGGGAACCTAAAGGCATGATGAACGACTATACAAAAACCCACCAGCAAGAACCATATTATAAACCATCATATTAAGGACTTCTATGTCCAAATCTCTCTCTCTCTCTCTCTCTCTAGACCAAAATGAAAGGATAAGGGAAAAGGAAACAGAGTTAATGGTGCTTTTAGACCGACGAAAATGGATCATCTTTGGTTTTAGTCCTTTACTTTGAGATCTATAAGTTTTTGTCCGTATATGTTTTTGAAATACCCAAACTTCATTCCTTAAAACTGACGCTGTGGGGGACCAAAACTTATGATCTTAAAAGTTCAAGGCTAAAAGAAACAATGATCCATTATTTAGGGACTAAAAGTACCATTAATCCAAATATATACTGTTAACCCAGGTAAATCAAACTGATTCAAAGATAAAAATATATTTCCTTTATGACAAAATCTGCATATAGAACCATACATTAAAATGAAGAAGCAGCCTCTTCCTGGCTTCCTCTAATACGGTGGTGTCGTTTTCCACGGTGGCGCCGGCCATTGCCGAACGTGACCGGATCAAATTTTCTTAGCCTTTCAGCTTCTTGAGGGTTGATGACACACTCTGGTGGAGGGACTTTGTATCTACCTGTGTCATAGCAGTAAGAGTATGTCATGTGCTTCAACCTGAAGTTCCTCATCTTGGTTCTTTGTACTGGGGTGATATCAGCAGGAACTGCCTCAGAATCTTGGGCACTACTGTCACACTTGGTCACATGCTCAATGGGATCAACTGCACAACCATGCAGGACAAAGTCCGAGAACTCAGCAACATAGGGTGCATACTTGTAATTTACTCTATATTTGCCTCCATTAGTTGCCCAATCAGATGCATCCCATATGGTAGCATACAAAGTCATTGGCTTTGAGGGGAAATCTCCTCCCATAGATTCTGTTCTCTTTACTTCCCTAATAGGTACATCATCCACGGAAAATCTGCACAAGGAAGAAAATAAATAGAACACATTATAAAAGCTAGTAAACCACAAATAATTATCAAATTAAGTAAATAGTGTATGCACATACAGTGTTATGATTTTTTACATTGTCATCCAATCACAAATTGTCATGTATGGTAAACTTGTTGATCTTCATATTAACTACCTTAAAAATCATACAGTACTAATGATGGTTTTTGATTGATTGATTGACGATGTGCATAAAGAATTAAACCTTACTAAATTTATCGTTACAAGTAGCAAGTAACAAGGTGGGACATAAAAGGAAATCCAGAATAATTCTTCCTATCTCCTACATGCAAGGGGCATTCGAGATCCAGTTGGTATGGTAGCTATAGTAACTAAGGAATGAATATTGATTACTAATTCATGAATTTAGGTGGACAAAAATAGTTATCCAACAACTAGAATTCATCTTATGTGTGGGTCACACATCCCACCAAAATTTCATCATGTGGGTTCCTCTCCATAAGGATACACACAACTTAAAAATTAGGCCTTTTCATATCTGGTTTTTATTTACTATCAGCAAATAATCAAATGCGTATGAATTGTACATTTTAATCCCATTACAGGCAAAAACTGGTTTTGATAAATAAAACTGTGGATGCAGTAAACGGTAAAAGAAAACCAGAGAATCTTTTTAACAAACCCCTTACCAATCTAGCAACAAAAGTCCTCAAACCACTCCATCAAAGCAAGGGATTGTTAGAGCATAAAAGGCAATAATTTGGACAGGTAAAGAAACTAGTTTTACCATAACAAGGAAAATGTAATAACCAAATATGGCATGTGGGATTTAAATAGATTGCATCATACATGATCTTAGAATCAGTCCAGAGAATACTATACTGATGGAAATCCTCAGCAGGATCAAACCATAGGCCACATCTTTCCTCTCTACCAATGTTGGTACTTCCATTGCCATAAACATTGGTCTGAATCCTCCAGTCTTTGCCTCTAATGTTACCCAAAAACTCAAAGTCTATCTCATCATGGTTACTCTGGAACATGTCACCATTAGACATCTGCAGCAGAAAACGAGAGGAATAAATTATTCGTGCGCCTATTTTCCAGGGAAAAACTGTTAAAAAAAGGGGAAATTCGAGACAAACAAACCAACTGGCGTTTTCATTTCAACAATACAAACAAACACTGAAATTTCCCTTCAAAACAGGAAAAAAAAATCTTTTTTGTCCCCATTAATGATCTCATGAAAAAATGAAACTGAAAGCAATCTGTTTTTATTTTTTGTTCTTTTTTAATATAAAAAAATCCCAGATACCTCGTTGCATCATATAAAAAAATTGATAGCTCATGGTCAATCGAAATGAAAAAGTTAAAAAAGGGAAGAAAATCTATATGCATGATCATAGTTTTGATGGAGTGGGGGAAAAACATGCACAGTATCTAATCATGATGGATGATTCAATTTCTTTAAAAAGGGTATGAAATTATAACAAGAAAGATATAATTTTTAATTGATCATCATGCATTAGAACCCATTATTACTCACATAAAATGCAACCACAACTCCAGCTGTGTAATCAGAAGGCAACTTAATCGAGGCACTGAAGTAGCCATGAAGGTAAAGGTCATGAGACACAAATCCAGAACCTGTAATCACAACCCAGAACAATAAAAACAAAAATAAAAATCATGACAAAAATAGAAAAAAAAAAAAGTGAGCATAAGAAAAAAGAATGAAAGATGGAAAGAACCTGTTCTTTCATCAAGTGAAAGGTGAACTGATTTGCCATCTCTATGGATGGCCAAATTATGGTCCCCAAACAAGGGGGTGTAGCCATCCTCAAAGGCTATGATGGGCAAGTTTGTGAGTGACCCAGTTGAAGCCATGACAGCAAAAAGAAGCAGAGAAGAAGAACACAAGAGGAACCACCCCATGTGAGCCCCTCCCATGTTTGTTTCCTTAATAATGTGTCAAAGGATTTCTTGCTCTGGCTACTTGTCTGCTGTTTCTCTGAGTGTTGTAATATTATTATATTATATAGGGGAGAAGAGAGAAGAGAAGAGTGATGAAGAAGAGATAGCAGAGAAGAGAGAGAGAGAGAGAAAGATTGGAAATGTAACGTTTTATTGGCGAGACTTGGGAGTTGGGAATGTGCTGTGAGTAGCTGTTCTCTTCATATGTAGACAATTTTTCTCTTATTTTTTCTTCTTTCCAAATTTCATTACAACTTTTTTTATTATTTACCCTAACTTTTCTTAATTCATTACAACCCATAAATTAATCTCCTCATTTTTACATAATATCACTATTTTCATGATCAGAATATATTCACACTATTTCCCATCCTTTAAATTGAATAATTAGGTTTTAACTCTTAACTAAAAATACCTAAACAACATTAGTTCAAATATGAGAGATTATTTTATGTTTACACAATATCAATAACAAATTTATCTTGTTGCCACGTTATATTAATCATCATCTTACATAGTTATCTGAAGTTATTTTTAGGAATTATTTATATTTTTAAAAATTGTTCAATAAAACATTTTAAATAATTTTTACAACTTGTATGTTTTTTATTTTGTTTTTCATCCCTATTTTTAAATTAAATTTATTTCTACAAAATAGACGCTTATTTAATTATTTTCACCTGCTAAAGTACCAACGTACCATGCGTACAATTGAACTCTAAATTGTAACACCTTTTGAATTTGAATAAAAATAAATAAATTATACTTAACACGAGCATTAAATTAATAAATTCTTCAACCATAAAAGCCAATTTTAAATACATTTTAATTATTTAGTAATTGATTTTCTTATTTTGGAAAGTTTCTTCTGTATTGATGAACTATTTTGAAACCCTCGATTTCTTTGATTTGCAATTAGTAGCAATGATGATGAAAATAAAAAAAAAAATGCACATGGTTCATCATTTCATGTCTCTGTTGCTTTTTTTTTCTATCCTTTAATTGTTGCTGGGGTATAATATAAGTATCAGGGCCAGTTCAAGCTTTTAATATCCCAAAGGTGAAATTAGGTATATTTGTAGAAAATTAAGATTGATTCATACATAATTTTAATAATCCAGTTACATTCAAAGTGAAAAATATAAGGATCATATTCTAACAGGGAATTTATTATTCCTACCCACATGATTATTTCTCTTTGTTCTATTATTAAAATTTATAATTGAGAAATGTTCTCTTTGTTTTGTACCTTTGTTTTTAATGATCCACTTGCATGGCATTTCCTTTTCTTTCTTGTGTCATTTCAATTGCACATGTTCCTTTTTCTGGTGTTATTGGTGAAAACTCTGATAGAAGTATTTGCTAATTGCCAATAAAATTTTAATTCAATATTCTCAAATTAATTGCGAAAATTAAGCACGTTCGTTTAGCTTTTTCATATAAAAAATTATAGGGTAGTAGTCATTTTCAGCATTTAAATTAGAAAACGGGTGAAAAATTTCATTTTCTTTTCCCAGTCTACAATTTCTTATTCCATTTTTCTCTCTGCACTAATTCTGCCATGAACGTTGAAATTGAAAGAATAACATCACAGGGCGACACTATATTTTAGACAAAGAATTATCTCTTTTAAACAACTTAAAATGAAAATCACATGTTATATGAAAAAAGTTTTGATATTAAATTCATACAATGTAAAGTTATAGATATTGTTATACCTGCCGAATTTAACAATTAAAAGCTTGGAAATTTAAAAATTGAGAGAGTTATAACAAAAAAGTAAGAATAAAAAAAGGCAATGAAATGAGTGGAGGAAACGTAAAACAGTATTTAAGAAAAGTAGAATGATCGTGGAAGATAATAATATTCTACAAACTTTTTGACAGAAAGTATAACCCCTTTTAATAAATTATTTATTATATCAAGAAACTTAAAATTAAAAAAAAAAAAAAACTGAAATTGTAAATGGGGCAGCAACCGAAACCAGTGCCTGTCCCAAGGTAAAGCACCGTCCCGTTATTGTTTATTCAATTTGAAAGTGCATTGATACTCTCGCGCACGTAAAATGACTGGTTTACCCCTCAAATACATTTTAAATTCTTAATTTCATTCAGTTAAAATAAAAAATCTAAACAAATGACATGAGATTAGTTCTTGTTTTTCATAATTTATTATAAATTACATCTACAAATGCATGTTTTAATTTAAATTTACTTTTAATTTATACTCTTTTGCTAAACTTCTACATCTCTATTTAATTTACTTAAATCACGTTTATATTACTTTCAAATAATAGTTTGATTACAAACAACATTTTCATAAAAATAAGAAGATTATATGGTAGTAAGAGAAGATAAGTTAGTGCAGAAACTTTATTTATTAACAAATGTCTTCCTTTATAAAGTTTCATGAACCACTCCCACAAAAATGTTTTATTTTTTTAGTTTGATCAATCTTTTAATAAAATATTTTAAAAGAAAAATTATTTAAATTGAATTTCTATTAATTTACTTACTCAAACATATTTATTTATTCTATATTATTTTTTTATATTTTTCCTATCATGTCTTTTGTTTTTTCTTTCACTTTTTACCTATTTTTTTAATTAAACTATTATATTAAAATTTAAATTAAATATATTAAAACAAATATTTTTAAATTAATATTAAAACTGAAAAAATATCTATTAATTATTTAAAATTATGATGGTAATAAATAATTTTATTTTTTATGTCAATAAATTATTTTATTTAATAATTATTTTAATAATTTATCATAATAAATAATTACTCATCTAATAAAAAATATCAAATATTTATGGTTTACAAGTATTTTTTTATTTAATAATTTAATTTATTTATAATTATATTAAGTTATAATAATTAGTAATTTTTAAAAAATATTTATTAAAAAATTACATTAAAATAAATATTTAATTTTTTAATAATTATAACGTAATCATAATATTTATAATATATCAAATTTATCATATAATAAGTTTTTAAAATAAAATATATTAAATTATAGTGTTTTTAATTATTTTTTTTAAATAATAAAATATTAAGTTTATCAAATTTCAATCTATTATTTTTATTTAAAGGATAAGATGGAATGAAAGAAAGAAAAAAGAAAAGAAATACTGAACAAAGATAGAAATAAAAAATAATAAAACGAAAATAAATAAAGAAAGAAAAATAAGTTAGACAAATTTATTTCTTTTTTATTGAATTTTATATATTAATGGTCACTAGATAAAGTTGGATAAATAAAATTAAAAAAAATTCATTTAAATAATAATTATCGTTAAATAAATTATTTGTGACATTGATTCAAAATTTCATTTTTTAAATAAATAATAAATGTAAATAATAATAAAAAATAAAAAAAAGAATATGATATCAAAAAATAATTCTAACAAACTTATTAAATATATATTAAATTAATAATTTAGTTCTCCAACTTTTAAAATGGATTTGTATCTTAGAAATATACATAATGACTTGTTAATTTTTTATTTATATATATTAGTTATTAGATTTAATGTCTTGAAGATAAAGCAATTAAAAAACGTTACAATAAGTTTCAAAAGAAAAAACTTGAAAGTTCTTTTAACGGAATTAGTTATATTTTTTAACCAATAATACCACAATAAAATAACACGAATAAAAAAATAAGATCTGCTGAGAAATAAAAAAAACTTACATTAAAATAAATTTATTTTTTTAATAAATAAAAGATGATATCTGCGAACAACCGTTATAAATAAATTATTGTTAACAAAATATGATAAATTTAAAATTAATTCAAATTTTTTAGTGGTACATAATCTTCGTTATATTATATTAGCAAATACACGTATCTTAGAACATTTACTTTTTTAAAATTATATATTTTCTAATATTATTTTAAATTTAATTTATTTTTCTTATATTCTCATTTTTTAATATATTAATTATATTAATTATTTTTTAAAATTATAACACTTTTATTTTGTTTGTTTCAACATTAAAAAATGTTTTTAAAAAAATATTTTATATATAATTATAAATTCAACAATAATTATAAAAAAAATGATAATAACAAAACATTTTTAAGAATAGATGTATTATATATATATATATATATATATATATATATATATATAATATGATACATCGTGTTTATTTATAATATATATTTAAATATAGTTTTTTTTAACTTTTTAGTTTAATAATATATTGATAAATTTTGTTTCTTAAAAATAATTAATACTTTAATGATATTTTAATTTTGAATATTGTAAAAAGTGATTTAAAAATATTATATAATTTACAATATTTTATTTTTATTTTTAATTTGTGAATTGTGAATGGTTAAGAATACTGTTTTTAAATGATGTGTTAATTATATATTTTAAAGAAAAATAATTAAATAATTTTTTTATATGTATGTGATATATATATATATATATATATATATATATATATATATATATATATTTACAAATTAAAATAACGTATTTCTTGCCTTTAAATAATATGACACGATCATTCCTTCAAAACAATCTAGGTATTTTTATAAAATTTAATTGCTTACAAATAAAATTTATTTTATTTCTATTAAAAATATAAAAATAAATTACATTTTTAATAAAAAAATTATATTATATTAATTTGTTAAGTTAAAGTAAAATAGACTATTTAAACATAAGGTAATATTATAACAAAAATTGAAGTTATCTTAATAAAAATGAAATTCTGATTTTGAGAACATTGATACTAGTAAAAGTTATACTAAATGAACAACAAATAGAATGGGTATAAGATATAACAGTAAGCCATATACAATGAATTACACAGTAGATATGGTGGGTTCCATATATCCATGTTCCACATACTTTTCTTCACTCTCTTTCTCATTTAATTTTATTTTTTTCATTCATATGCTTTTGTAGGTCCAATTCACATAATTTATTCCCGACATGTCAAATTCATAAGATAACTCCAACTAATTAAATGCTCCATTTTCTCTCTTTCTGAGCCATCATGCTCTTTAGCTTCTATTATTAAACTATATTCTTTGCTTATATTCCAAGTTAAATGATTAATTGTATGGAACTTAATATGTAAAATGACACACTATATCTAAAGGGCTTTTGCCCATTCAATATAAAGGACAAATGGAGGGGGTTTCTACCAAATAATTAAGGTCTCCCCTTTTTCAAAGAGAAGGTTCCCTTTCAGGTTAAAAATATTTACTTTTTTTATTAAAATTAATTTAAATTATAAAAGTAAATAATAAAATAGGTTCACCAAGCTCTTTTCAATATAGACAAACCATGAGTGGTCTAAATAAAAATTTCACCTTTTGTTTTCATTTGGGATTGAAAACCCTAAAGTGAATGAGTCTATCACTGTACAGCTCATCCCCAGCTTGCCACATCATCAAGAGATGCCTTTCATTTTCCTCATAACTACCATTCACTTTCCTCCACAAACTCAAACCACACGTCAATCTTGTGGCCATTATATTTCACAACACTTTTCATTGTTTTTTACAAATTGTTATTTTTGAATGGAAAACATAACTGTTTTTACTTAATTTATTAAAAAAATAAATATATTCTAATTAAATCTTATAAAATTAATTTATATAATACCCTATCGATGTTGCAAATCTCCAATGAACAACTGTGAGAAATGCATGCTCAACTTTCCGTGACTCTTCTGGGAAATATGACAAAACTAAATGACAAATACATTAATGCATGCTCATTTTTCTCCATTTTTTACAATTGTGAACAACTAAAACCATTTTTCAACATCAAATTCCAATGATATAATTGAATTTTTATGGAACTATAATTACGATGGTGTTTATTCTTTGTAAATAACTCAGAGGTGGATTTGTATGCATTAGAAAATTGTGATGAATGACAGAAAAGTATAAGTGAAATTATTAGAGTGGAAAAGTAGATATTATTGAATCCAATGTCTTCCTCAAACAAGTTATATTTATTATTAGCCAACCACACCACGTATACTTTCCATGATGATTAAAGACAACAAAACTTAATGCAAAATAGTTGCAGAAAATGGAAGTGCTTAAAAACAACACTTAATTACATCAATGATTCCCAACATAGCTATTTCCATACAGTAGAACTGAACCAACCCAAATTATAACCTCTGTTTGGTAAGTAAAGATAAAAGAAATAGATAAAAAAAATCATAAAAATAAAATATATTTTGTTGAAGAGAAATAAATAAAAAAAGTAATAATTATTTTTTTTCTTATAAAGTTATTGACGATGAAAAAAAGATAGCAAGCTACATTGTGATTGTGGTCCTCTTTCTTCCACTATTTTCTTTTTTTTGAAATGGATAACCATTCATCATCTTCATAGCATTTCAAAAGAGTATGATAGTTTAAAAAATAAAAATAAAAAATTTTGAGGGTTTCTTACCTGGCATAATCATATGCACTTTATTATGCCATGGACCAGTGCCTTAATTAATGAACACAATTTGAATGGCCTAACTTTTGCTTTGGTGATCATTCCCAAAGGTTTTGAAAAGTTATTTTCTTTCCCCTTTTCAGGTGTCCAAGAATGACCAAACATATTCACTACTCTATGCTATGCCTAGCTCTGTTCTTCTGCAAAATTCATTTTTACCTTTTTCTTTTCTTCCTCTGTTTTCCATTAAATATCTGTTAATGGGAACTCTTTTGGCGGCACATGATCAATTTTTATATCTCAAAATCTCTTTCAGGTTCATAGTGTTTTCCACCAAACCAAACTTGATTAGGGCAAATATAACTAGTTCTACTATAAATATATTACATTAATCATGTTTTTAAGTTTCATAAAATTAAATTATATAAACAGTTCCAGTTTTTATCTCTTCATTCATTAGCATTTGTGTACGTGTGGACCTTATCCTCAACTAGAGCCCAATAGTACATTTTCCAGCCCAACTCCAAACTACATTGCCCGTGCCAATAAATCAAAAATTTCCAATTCAACACTTAGTCTATCGTTTGATTCATTATTTATCATTTTAAGAAAATTAATTTATTTTAAATTAATAAAATATTTAACACATTTATTAAAATATTAGCATCATGTTTAAATATGTAATTTACAACATTTGTATAAAAAAATTGGATGTTGAAAATTTTAAAAAAATTAATAATGAAATATTTGGAAAAAATTGAATGGTAAAAAAATTCATCAAATAAATAACATTTAAATGGTACGATTTGCCGTTAAGTCAAATTATTACAAACCGTTTTACTAATGAAGCACAATTGATTTGATTACAAAATAATTAAAGAATAATGAAGAAAGATAATAATTTATGAGAAATTATCTAAGAGAATCAAACAGAAAGGTTAACAAAAACTCCAAACAGGAGAATGGCAAGACCAGTGAATTTGATCAAATTGGATTCTAAGTGATGAGGCTTCAGCGCTCCTGCGGAAGTTAAGAAACTCGTCTTCTCCATCAACCCTGTTTCAGCAGCACACACTGCCATGAACATCAGTGCTTTTCCACCAACTTTGTGCCACGGTAGCACCTTCCTTCTTGTTAGCTCTGATGCTGCTTGAATCATGAACACAGACAAACCGAAAATCCACTGCAAACAGTCTCATCGTCAAAGTTCTATCCACTTTTAGACCAAAACCATGACATCATGAATCATTTTTGAACTCTATCACACATCAATAAGAGAATGCATATATATTCACATACCTGCAATACAAACAAGCAGAAGGTGCCGATGCCAATCCATGAATGGAGGCTATAAACGTTGGGAATTTGACGCATGTCATGGAACTTGAAAACGGCACTTAAACCAACAATGCCAAGAACTAGGGCAATCAAATGCAGTGTCATGTGAACAAACTTTCTTATTTTCCTTTCGCTTGGTATCGTTTGGAATGCTAATACAGCTGTATTCAGTTTAATTAATCAACGTCAAACCAAACCACTATAAGATAAATGTCAACATTTGTTTGTTTTCATGTTGAAGTTAATTTGGAGATACCTTCACCAGAAAGGAAGATGAAGCCCGAGTACATCAAAAATGGGTGAACCTGCATAATGTATGTATACACACACACACACAAACACAAAAACGTGAATGTAACATTATATGGGTGTTCATAAGAGTAGAATAATGTTGAAGTTCTGAAGATAATGGGGAAGCAATATTACATTGAAGACGCGCAGTCCATTGTCTGAGTCATACTCGATTCCTTCACGGTAATGCAGCAACCAAACCAGCAAGAGGACGAAGGCTATGATGCCAAACAAGTGTGCCAAATAACTCATCCTGCATCTCACACTATCATCTTGCTCTAGTGTGCCTCACTCTTATACTCTTTTATCAAAAATTTTTATAAAAGCATGAGGAAGCATTGCTTGTATTCTTAGTTTAGGAATTTTGAACTAAGCAACTTTGGAATTTAGCAAGCATCTTGATTTTATGTTACACACTATACACATATATTCTCCAGTTGTCATGAAACACGAAACGGGAATAAATTGTAAAAGAAAAGAATAGAATCTGTCGTCACAAGTTATTTGCATTATGCTATTCCAAGCAACTATACATTAAAATATTAAAATGTATTGTAAAATTGTTTTTATAGTAAAGCATCCGAAAATGTGTTAGAATTTAAATGGGTGTTAAAGTCCCATATTCGATAGAAATAGTAAAATTTAATAATATGTAAGTAAGATTGAAAAACAAAATAGTGATGATAGAACGTTAATCTCAAAACAATTTTAAAATAAATTATTATTCATATAACATTTGTTTAGAAGTTACCCCTACTATTTTTATTATAAGATATTTTTGACAAAATTACCTAAATTAAGAAAAATAATTATTTCATATTTTTTTTACTAATATTCTATTTTTACTATTATTAGTCATCATTAAATCAATTAATAGTAATGCATAATCGTGTGTTTAATAAATATCTTCTTAGACTTGGTCAAAACCCAATTTTAGAATTGAGAAAATGGTGGAAAATCTGTAATAGCTTATCGTTTTGTCTTTTGGACTATTGTTATGAGTTGGTCCATTAATTTTCGCATTGTTTTCGGCCCAACTTTAGCTGCCACATCCTAAATGCCTTGGTTCAACCCATTGTTTTGATTTTGTCAACAAAACATTCACCAACCTTGTGATCTTCCATATGTGATTTACGTCTTTGTACACATTTTTTTAGTCATAAACAATTATAGGAAAAAAAAAATCAATTATTACTCATAAGATCCAAATTAAAAATCAATTTGTTTTTTTTAAGGTGAATTTACGATGTCATTTATATTCAATATTTCTAAACTATAACACCAAGGTTGTATGGATACAAAATTATAAGTAACTAAAAAAATACATTTAAGCATATTTATTTTATAATAATAATAAATAAATGAAGTGAAGAAACTATTGAACAAAATTAACAACATAAAACAAATCTGCGGAAAAAGTAAACGAACGTAACAACAAGCAACTAGTCTGTGTCACCATGCATCAGCAAAAGGACATGCAGAAAAATTGTGACAAATGCATTTTCAGTGGAAACCTCTCAATAATACTTGTGTTTTGGTCTTGTTTTTGTTGCTATATTTCTTTTCACCAATCTCTAACTAAGCCAAATATAGTCTTCAAGTATTTACTAATCATATGTTATGTAAGATACAAACTTCACATCTTTTCAAAATGTAAACAAGATATTTCTGTGATTTATTAGTAAAAATAGTAAATTTCTTTGAATATTTTTCACCAAAGATAAATACAACAAAACAAGATCAAGGTCTCATTTGTTGTTGCCGGCCAAACCGTTTGCCATATTCGTTTTTGTTAGCATCCTCATGCAAAGACGTGTCTAAACTTTGATTCTTTCACCATTTTCCCTTCTATTTATACGTAACCATTGAACTCTAATTGAAGAAAGATGGCTCGTGGTGGGTTCCAAGTTGAAGCAGTTTCAGTCACCATATTTGGTCATTTGTTGTTCATAGCAATAACAAGCCTTGTGCTTGTTTGGTTGCTACACTTCAGAGATGGTGTTGCCTTCTTCAACTCTTCCAACTCAATCAAGATTTTCAATGTGAGTTGTAATTGATTGTGCTGCTGTGTGATATTCGTTTTACTAAATAACATGTTAATTATCTGCTTTTATATGCAGCTCCATCCACTTCTAATGGTAATTGGCTTCATTTTAGTTGGTGGAGAAGGTAAGCAAAGTTCTGCTTAATTATGCCAAATTAAATACATTATATTGACATACTATTGTAATGTTAGTATGTAATACTTCAAAAAAAATCTCAAGATCCATGAAATGAATTTCTTCAAGTGTCTTCATTTGGTTTTATATATACTTGCAACAGCTATCATGATATACAAGTCTGTGCCTGTAAAAAGGAGGTCAGTGAAAGTGGTTCACCTCCTACTGCATCTGGTAGCTCTAGTGGCTGGAATTTTAGGGATCACTGCAGTTTTCAAATCAAAGAAAGAGGCAGGTCTTCCTCATATGTATACATTGCACTCTTGGCTAGGCATGTCTGCAATATGCCTATTTGCTTTGCAGGTAACCAAAGACTTTGTTAGTTAAATTGGTATAAAGTGAATCATTTACTTAATCAACAACACATTCAAAAGGGATTCTTTGATAGTTTTCTCATGATAATTTGATTTCTCTTTTCAGTATATCATGGGGTTCTTCTCTTATTTCTTCCCTGGTGCAGAAATGGGCACTAGAGCTTCCCTTTTACCATGGCACAGGTTTTTGGGCATGGCCATATTCCTTCTTGCAGTTGGCACAGCTGAGACTGGTTTGGTTCAATATTTCCAGTTTTTACACCTTTTTCGCAGCCAAGAGGCACTCATTGTCAATTCCACTGCTCTCTTACTCTTCCTCTATGCTCTCTTTGTTACTCTCTCTGTTATTCTCCCAAGAAATTATTCATAAGATTATCCTAGGTAGTTGAATTATTATGTATTATCCTCTCATCATTCAATGTATTCACTTTCTTTCACTCTTCACAAATCCAATTAGTTAAACATACACAACAAATCAATATTCCATTCTCTCTCTTCCATAACTTACTGTTACTGGCCAAAGTAAATATAAATTGATGTTCCAAAATTTATGTAATTATGTGATGTGAGTAAAATCTGAGAAAGTCAATTCATAATCCAATGTTACTTTAAGAAAAATAGTGTTACAAAGCTGAACGAAGTTATAATGATTACAAAGCTGAAGCGTGATGTGAATGAAATCAATTGGGTTGTAAGATATAGTTGACTTCTAAATGGGAAATTGCACAACAAATAACTAGTGTAAAATCAATTATTCCAACTGAGAAATAAAATATTGAAGAACAAAACATGCACTATGAAAAGTCCTACAATAATTAGTGTATATGACGGCCACCATTCAACGTTCCTCTTCTCCATATGCTAGTGTCCTATAACTAATCCTATCAATTATGCTTTTCTATCTTATTGGTTACTGAATATTTTACATTTTTTTTAGTTTCCAATCAAAATTTTAATCGAAATTAGTTTTTCATTAATATTTTTTGTCCCCAGAGTTAAACAATAACATTACTGATCATGTTTACAATATTAATAATGTAGTAACTTTCAATATTGTCTAAAAGAACTTATCTCTTGTTTGTAAATTTATTGAATAAAATAGTAATTTTAAAAGCAAACCACAGTAATTGGTAAAAAAATGAACGAAACTCTATATGCAACTATGTAGTCGATTAAAGAAAATATTCACTGTTTTTTTGTCTTAGCATTATGAACAAGAACTGCAAGCTCTCATGAAGAACACGGCTAAATTCAGGTTTAAGCCCCTCAATGGAGCATACAAAACTTGATTCTTCAATTTAATAAGAGAAAGTTATCTATTGTGAAGAAGAAACACCAGAATACAAATTGGTACGAGATAAATAAATTACACACGTTGCAGTAGTGTTCTAGAGAGAAAAACAAAATACGTTAATCAAACCCATTGCTGCTTTGTTGCTTCCATTCTCTTCAACAAACCATGAATCTCATCTTGCATTCTGCTTTTCATGTTGAAGTAATCGTAGTGTGAATTTTGCAAGACGTTGAGTTCCTCAAATTTCTTCTTCCTCCTTTCCTCTGCCTCGTGCAAGCAAAGCTTGCCAAGCCTTTCTGCATACTCCTCTTCCATTTGTGCAGCCTTTGTCTTGATCATCTTCTGGAATCCCTCCGCTTCTCTCCTTGCCTCATCTGCCTTGCTCTGAAACATTCCGGCTTCGGCCTCTTTTATTCGAATGATGCTCTCCAAGCTTTCAAGCCCTCCTCCTTTCCTTAGTAAAGCCTCAAGGTGGAAATCAGACTCAGTTTTTTGTTCACTCAAGAGGGAGGTTTTGAGGTCTTTCTGTTGAAGATCATTTGACCTAGTGAAGCGCGTGTCATAAGTGTACTTTGGTATTAGAGAAGTAGATTGTGGAAGAGATGATGTTGTGTCTATTGTACGACTAGCCTTAGATTTTGGCAAATCCTTTGAGGATATACCAGAAGTTGGGAAGTTTGACATGCCATCTGCGTCTAATTATCAGAGGAAAAAAAAAAATCCAAGTTAGGTATCAAATATCATCAGTATAAGTATAATCAAATAAAGCAAGCATTTGTTATATAAACTAAGAAAGACCCAAGCTGAAGCTGCAAAATTATGCACAATTTAGTTTGATAGAAAAACAGACTCAAATGCATATTGAAATATCAGCTATAAGATTTAGCTACTTCATCCAGCGAGGGAAGTACATGCATACAACATTCGAACCAATTGAAGCGTGCTTTTGCTTAATTAAGTGGCCAATGCCTATTGATTTAAGAGTTTCATCTCAGTCATATACCAAATCTGCAAACCCATCCAAGGAATTAGTGGTCAATATAACATAATTCATCATTCACCAAAACCAAACACCAGAAGACTAGAAACAATTATTATGTAACTATGGAGTGATAAAAGAACACTCCTAGTTTTTATTTCTGCAACCTATAACAAACAATCGAGTCAACACGATATCAAATGCCCTATTGAGCAGGGCCACATGATTTAGAAATTACAAAGTCATTTTAAAAACCCAATTGCAAACGACATCCAAAATACATAGCCTAAGCCTGATTTGATGTTATTGAACATCTGGCACAATCTGAATTGAGGTAATTTATTTTATACATAACATGATGGAATTCTCAAGTACTGTGTTGTGGCTATAAAAATATAAGAAATGGAAAGATAACTCATTTTGAAGGTTAAATAGCAAGATAGTGT